TTCCTGCTTATTCAGAAGGTTTTCTCTACTTTTTACAGGAGTGTCCCATTGACAAAGCTAAACAGACCCATTTTTTTCAAGCTTGCTGCTTAACTGCCTTTGCCATGGGTAAGAACATCAAGGAAACAGTAACAAAATAATTTGTATTTCCACAGCATGTTTGAACTCAAAGGTGCCACAAATTAATCAAAAACCTTAAATTAGAATACAGCTCCGATTGCTTTCCTCATGGTCTAAAACACAGCCAGTTCCGGAGGTGGAAACAGCAGTTGTATAACAAAGCAAAATAACCTCACACAAGTGTGAAAATCTGCAGGAAGATCCTACATTCATCTTCTCTGCAGCATGAATCTGGATTGCCATAGCCAAGGTTAAATCTATGATTTCTAAAAGAACGCTCTAAATCATGCCACAACTTGAGAAATGCCAGCCCTGACCACTGAGGAAAGAATCCCTCCCAGATATCCCGAGTTTTCTCCCAAGTCTACTCCCTTCCATTCCCCTGCTCCTTGTCTGAATTATGATAGGGAAGATTTGGGCTGTGGGGTTTAAAGACATGAACTAACAACATTTTCTTGTTTCCCCAGTTGAATTTATTTGCTCTGTGTATGTATATAAATGTCTTGGCTGGCTCCATTTGCAGCAGGGAGATATTCAGTTCTGAAACAAAAACGCATTTTGAAAGCAGATACAGTTGGGTCCGCTTGGGTTTTCTTTGCAGTTGTTACAGGAAGAAGTTGGAGCAGTAGCAAACGAGAAAAAAATGTAAATATTGCCAACTGTTCCTCAAGAATTGTGCTGCTCTGTTTAATTTATGACTTTTTCAGAAAAAAAATAGCAAATGCTACACCATGAAAAGCTGAAACAGAGTTTAAAAAGATGTGCTCTTCCTAGTTTAGAGCAACAGGTTATACAATGAATACTAATAAAATGAATTAGGACTGAGTTTGAAAACAAACTTCAAATTTGAGCCTCAAGATAGAAGAACAAAAGGGCAAGCAGATTTGTTCAGGTCAGTGGAGTGATCAGCAGGAGGTTTCTGTGGCCAGTCTTATTTTAAGCTCTAGAAGAACTTGCTATACACATTGGTACTACAACTAACAAATATTTCAGCACCAGCCTGTCAACAGTTGGGACCACCATAAATACGGCAGAAGGTGTCGTGGCTGCCAGGAAGACATCAGCTATTCTGATCCTGTGCTTCTCAACAAGCTACTGAGCACAGAGCTGGCTCCAGGCTATGCAGGCTCTGCAAAATCACCTGTTTCACAAAGCATCCAGAGAGGCACCTAGCTAACCGTCTTCTCTTGACTTCTGCCTCCAGCTTTCTGATGCAGGGACTTTAAACTGATCAGCAAACTTCATAAATACAACCCGGATTCATGCACTAGGTCTACAGTAAATAATAGCAAGAACAGTGCTCCAGCAGCCTAGCAACTCTGGAGGAGAGGCTGGGTGCAGCATAGAAGAGTCTGCATTTTCTTGAGAGTACTGCCAAATGATTTGTGGGTTCAAAACTAACATTAAACTGAACACAATGTCATTTTGACTTCCATAGCATAAAAATATAGCAAGATGTGATGCACAGACACTGTCTCTGCTCAAAGAACTATAAAATAAAAGAACCAGCCTTCCAAGTCTCCCTTGTTTTTTAGCTTTGTTTCTTTTCCCTTGTGGCTTTCCTATGCTCCACTTTTTACTTTACTTTAACTCGAGTCAATTTTCCCCTCAAGCTAATTTGGTATGAGCAGTCATCTTCCTGAAACTGCAAAAATATTTTCTCTTCTTTCTTTTAAATGCACTCCCTTCACATATTCCCAGCTTGTAGATGGGCTGGCTTTCAAGCAGCAAGAGACTCCCAGTACTAACTAACCTCTTCCACAAGAAGACACTACAAAAAGCAGTTAAGGATCGTGACTCTTGGGAGATTTTTCAAACCAGACCTTTTCCAATACCTGAAGAATATTAAAACATGGTGGTACTTTTAGAAAAATCAATCCATTTTCCTTCTACCTACCTGCTTCGCCCACAAACACTTCCACTGGTGTGCTGGTAGGGCTCTCACCAATTACATTATATGCCGTCATTAAAACTTCGTATCTTTTGTATTTCTTCAGCTCTGAAAATGCAAATAATTAAATTTAAAACATTTTAATGCAGACACTTTTTAGACTTCATTCCCTCTTTATCACCAAACTTCTCTGTCATTCAGTACAGTATTACAACAGTGCACCAGTGCAATGGCTAAGTACTTTCACCCTTCCCTAATTCACACATCACAGCAGGGTTTGCACAATTACAAGAAACCTTTGCAATGAAATGCCCAGATTTTCTACCAGTTCCTCGCTGTGTTGTTCCTCTAAGGGGGACAATTCCTGATGGGTAACTAGCAACAGGAACATTTCTGGGTCATTCTTGATGGCAGAAAAAGGAAGAACTTCCCTCTTAATGTTCAACACGTGGATTCATTTTGTTCTCTACTGGTAGGAAGCAGCGTAGCTTCAGGCTTTTCCTTTGCCTAGAGACTTTCAACCTGAGAGCCATCTAGCAACTGCAGTGCTCGAGAGCCTCTCTGCTGAAGCTGGTGCAGAGGATGTGCAGGAGGGAGTCGCAGTCCCCTCTGAAGCACTGCACGCATATCTTGCTCCCTCAAAGTGACCACAGTTTAAACATCACTCACAAGGAGAAAGGAGAATTTGAAATCTGGACTCCGTTTGGCCACCAGGCATCCAATTTCTTTGCTGGGATATAGAAAACCGCACAGACAGATGAGATGGGAAAGTGAAAGCAGCACGAAAAAAAAGCAAGAAAACCCTATGGTATTCGGGTAATTAATAGATGCAAGGAGGGGTGGAGTAGAATCATATCAACGTCATTAGGGGAGGCCACAGCTGAGCAGCTTCAGGATTTGCATTTGCAGGATGAAAGAATCAATTCTAACAGAAATATTTATCATCTAAAATATTTAACAGTGAAATTATAGTACGAGAGAGATCAATAATAGAAATTGCTTTATGTAAATCAGCATTGAATTTATTTAGGCATGCATGGGCAGGGGTCTAAATTTCTCCCTTTGCCAATAATTTTCTCATCTATCTATGAATCACATTGTGCCCTTAATTCTGTGGCTGACAGCATGTCATTGGTTTGGTAAGGTTCAGTAAACCTGGCCATACTGGTCCTTCTGGATTCAGTTTTGTGGAAGGGTTTACAATCGTTCTGCTCATACAGCTGACAGAATCCAGCAGCATTCCCTGGGCTCAGGTACACAGCAGATGATATCTGATCCATCACTAATTCTTTGCCAGCCCATAAATAAAACAATTATATAATGCATGATACAGACTTCTTGATTGGGATTACAGCACTGGACAACTTGTACAGAGAAACTTTAATTTGCTGCCGTCAAAAGCCACAAGGGAGATTTCAGTGCCAACTCAATGTGGAAGAAAATGGAACATCTGAGAGTTCATGCATGCAATTTCAGTTGGGATAGGGCTTCGTTTTTTTAGCCCATCACAATCTGTAACTCAAAAGCCTTGGGCAAAACCTATCTAGTGAACCATCATCACCACAAAGCAACTTGCCTTTTAACTCTGTCGAATGCTATTTTATTCATTTCCAATTGAAAACACTTCTGGAGATGCGTATAAATTCATTGGGCCCTCTCTAAACTGGCCTCATACTCATGGCACGCCGGGGCATCCTAATGTTCGCATCATAGGACTAATGATGTGACCTAACTAAACTCAGTCAGACTGTGAAATATGAAGGAAGCAAATCAGAAGTCATTTAGCATCAGTAATACTGGTACGGTAGAGTCAATAAGGCTTCACCTTCCCAGCAGCCATATTTCTACAAGTTACCTACTTACATCATCAATGTCTTTTTGACGTAGGAAAAGCAAAGGTTTAAAGAAAAGAGTGGAACTCAAGGAAGCAGAATCATTAATCTGAGCTGATTTCTGCTAGATCCACTGAGAACCACCATATGAGTTTGCCTATCGTGTAATTCAAACCATTACAAAGACTCTTATCTAAAGGCAGTGTGCACTTACGTGTCAATTCATACGTCGTTAATGCAGAGCTGCTGTTCACTGTCTTGAAGCTGCTTTGGGCTATTCAGGGTAAGCAAAGCAGAAAGCTTGTTACGGTGCAAGGAAATCGTTATTGCAAATGATGTACAGCAGAGACAGAGGCAAATGATGCAGCACACACATACACAGTCAGAGCTTTAGGACTATACCTTGAAGGGCAATAAAATCACATCACTCTCTCGTAACACATCAAAAGCATCTCACTCACACAGGGTTGTTTCATTTCCTCCTCAAACAGAAAATCTCACAAATATACAACACAGGGAAGTGTTCTGATTCCTAGATTAAATAGAACAAATAAGTGAACAGGAATTTTCTAGGGGGAAACTCTTGACACTGCGCTACGTTCTTCTCAACATGAATTTCAAATGTGTAAAGATCTTCAACACAGGCCACAAAGAGTGAACATGTAAAATAGGATGGGATCTGCTTCTTTAAATGTATGTTAAATTTCCCACGGTTTCCCTTTTAGCATTCAATATGCCTGCTGTGAATGAATGGTAATAATATGCTAAGCTGTGCAAAACAGCAGGTCATTGTGGAAGAGAGGTGTACTGAGGTGAGAATTGTCATATTACCAGGAGAGAAGAGGGAAATTTTTCTTAAAATAGTTCTGTCTCCACCTCTTTCTCTCTGGCTCCCCAGAGAAGTGCAGAAAGGTATTTTCTACTATATCACTACCAGGCTGCAGGGCCAGCCAAGAAAAAGGAGGAGAGGGGACTGGTAGGAATTCCAGCATCCTCTCCTGTAGAGCTAGAGAGTATCCCGAGTCACTACATACACACACCAACATCTATAGGACCTCCCCATTCCTACTTAGGCCTCGCTGGAAGTCTGTACATTCCCAGAACTCTCATTTGGGCCTGATGATGTAAATGAGAGCAGGTTAAAATGCTCACATTATATTTTAAACATCCACTTTTATTTTTCCACTCAGGATCACTTTTTTTTTTTTTTTTGTAGAATCTACTTTTTTTTGCATGTGGAATCCAGATAACTCAGAGATATTCACACTGTCTTCCTCAGCCATACTCTGCCATTCTCTATTATTCTGAATATTCCACTGATGTCAGGCAGGACAAAAGCTGGTCCCTCTGTGAGCACGTCTCACTGCTGGGCTCTGCCAGGCTCCTGCTGAGTCTCACATCTGTCTCCCAGCATCCTATTCTTTCCTTTGATTTTCTTCCTAGTCTTTGACTCAAAAAAACTTTTCATTTTTCTATTAGTTGTCTCCCACTCCACCTTCTTGCCATGTGGGCCAAAACCCCAGTGACTCACATGGCAAATAAGCACCTCAAACCTCTTTTTGAAGCTCATTTTTTGCTATTTTCTTCCAAAATAACAACAAACACTTTTTCAAGCTCTATTTAAAATTTCTCTTCAACTGATTTCTGATATTGCAAAAATAAAACCAAAACATCCATTAGGAAAACTATTACAGAAGAGTGGAAAAGAAAACGCATGCCAGCTGATGCAAACACAGCCTTCTCTTTTTTGTCTGGAGGCAGAACAAACCAGGGCAACCAGGAGACAGAGGGAGCAGAAAGCAGGAACTCAGGGGACACTTGGAGGACACACTGTCACTTTAAGCACACTGCCATAGATCAGAGAGCATCATTATGAGTGATGCTGATCAAAGTTATTAGCATTTTTCAGCATCTTCACCCTGATTGTGGAAAAGCTGACTTAAACACAGCAGTCTCAGATAAATATCTGGGTCCTTTCCGTGGCTATAAGGGCACTTATTGGCCAATACACTGATGAATTAGCATTCTGTGACACCACAGGGTCCCAAACACAGGCTTACGTGTGAGCTCTGCTCGTAAAGCTGAAGGGTTCTTGATGGTTTTGGATTCTGCTCCAGACCCAGTGTCATAATCCAGCTCTCGATAGTAGATCCGGTAGCCCAACAACAAGCCATTTAGACTCTCGACCTTTGGTGGCTGAAAAAAGTTCACATAAAGAATGTGCTTGTTAACACGTGCATCGCAACAACCCTCCAACAGAGCAGAGAGAAGGTTAGATGGACTCTTGACATAGGCCCTATGCAAAAGCATGAAGTTCTCCTGTAAATACAGACATTATTAATCTACAGGGTCGAAGCCTGTATAATTTGAAAAACATGAGTTACAGGCAACTGATGCTTTCACTCAGCTGTGGCAGCTACAAAAGGCTCTTTACTTAGAAGTCCACAGCTGACACGCTTCACCAGGACACAAGCTCCTTTCCTTCCTGGTCCACAGAACCTTGTGTGCAATAAAGAATATAGCAACGCGTGTTGCTGGCAACTAACAGTGGATTAGTAAACAGGTATTCTGCTTCTTCCAAGAAAACAACAAATATATATATATATTTTGTCACAGACATTAAAAAAAAACCTTGTTCTTTAGTGGCTCTTTTCCTTGGGGAGTCTTGTTTGTACAGCATTCTTCATTTGGCATTATTTTACTGGAAGATTGATGAGAAGCTGAGAACTGGTATATTCTGCCTTTGATTAGGAAGATAAAAATAGGTGTTGTGGCAATAGGAAAACTTGTATATAAGATACTGACATGAGTTTTTATTTGGCTGAGTAAAATATCCCTCCTTCATTCCACAGGTCACTCGAATCCTTCTACAGCAGAGAGGAATCTGGCACACGAGTCAGAAGGGTGCGATGGCTCTTGTCGTGTCACCGCCTGGGCCATCAGAGGATGGGATCCACTTACAACACTCATTCCGACCGACTCCTGCTCTGAAGGTGCCTGCCCCACTATGGACAGGACTCAAAGGACTTCTCTCAGGCCTCCCTCTTGCAGAAAGGCTGGACGGAGTCTCTTCTGAACCCAAATACTGCAGATCTTATACCCACCAGAAATGCTTTAGAGAGGAGTCACAGTATGATGGGCTACAGCCTAGTGGGGATGATCAGTCTTGTAGGATAACCCCGATTTTCTTCATGACAGTTTGGAGCCGGTCAGTACGTATAACTGTGGGGTTGTCTCAAATACTTGTGTTTTTTTGTTTGCTTGTTTTGTTTTCTGGAACACACTGTACCTCAGCAGTCGCTCACATCGTCTTTTAGACACAGAGGTATAATCAGAGCTACCCATTTGTTCTACTGAGAGGAGATTTTTGTCTGAACAGCTTGCTGAAATAAGCCAAGCAAAAGGATTCTTGATGTTTGGGAAAAGAAATGTCTTTCAAGAGTCAAATGCAGGCTAAAAACTGCAGAGACGAAAAGATGCCCTAAGCCATTTATCTTCTAAAGATCCTTGTACTGAAACTTAAGGGGCTGAAACGATAAATGAGAAGGATTTTAATGATGATCTTGCCTTTAATCTGGAAAGATCCTTAGGTGTCTTGAGAACCTTACTAAGGAAAAACCTTTGTCCATCATTAAAAAATTAACCACTGGTGTGAAATACTGTTACAAGATAAGGTAATACCATATGTAAAATTTTAATGAAAAAAAGTAAGAATATTAAAACAGGAAAGGAGGCAGATACCTGGTAACAATGAAGCACTGCTATGAGAAGCGACAAGAGACTTCCATTACCATCACACCAAGAGGAAAGGGAGGAACGTCCTCTCCTATTGCTAAGGATGCCTCTCTGAGCAAGAACAGAAACAACTAAGGTGGTTTATGGAAACCAAATGAACAGCGTGTGCTAGAGAGAGGAAGTGCAGTATTGGAAAACCACACAGAACACTACCACGAGAAGAAACAGAAACTGCTCCTGCAAAAAGCCTGCTTCTTTTTCCATTGTCCCGTCTGCAGTCTGTTGAAAGCCTCCAAAGAGTCTCCAGATCTTGTTGCACTTGCTCCGTGCGGCCGGAGAGCCTCAGTCAGCGTCTGTACCACATTCATTACGTTGCTCCGTTCTTTGGAGAAGCTCTGACCGCCTTTCAGTGTTATTTAGCATTTGCACTAGAGAATTCCATAGGAACACAAGATTGTGAAAGCCCTTGAGAACCCACCAAGCCCGGCCCCTCCTGACTGCAGGAGACTACTTCTTAAAATCCTTTTCATGGACAGAGCAAGCTCCATCAGGAAACAAGCCATTTTTCCTGCTTCCCGGTACGGCTGTTGGAAAGCTGTTCCAAACTTCACCACTTGGGTGGTTAGAAACCTTCATTTAATTTCTAATCTAAATAATTCATAGCTAGTTTATAACCATTTGTTTCTGCGCTAACATTGTCTTTTCGTTTAAATTGTTCTTCTCCCTATAGGGTGTTTACTCCCATGATGTATTTTAAAAAGAGCAATCATATCCCCTCTCAGACTTCGTTTTACAAGGAAAATAAATCAACCTCTTGTACAACAGCCTTTCCTAGTCACAGATTGGAACCCCCTGTATGAGGGACTGAACAAATAGACCAAAAAAACCTGACAGCCTTCTCCTCGTCTGGCTGATGATACAATCGCTCATGCAGCAGCTCAGAGGACTGTTCTCCTCTGCAGGATAGGGAAGATGAGATATTATTTACTGGCAATTACAAGTATATCAATCACAACCTCTTTTTTTTTTTTTTCGTCCCTCCAATCCTCTGGTTTCCTCCGTTGTTCTCTATATGACACTGAGGTTGCTTTAGCTCTATGTCCTAGCGGAGAAGGACTCTGCAGCAGGGCAATATCACTGCCCCTCTGCCCTAAAAGGGAGGAATTGTAACGCAAAGAATGAGGATGGTTTCCCCCTAGATAGGGAAAAAGGAGGGATCGTCCTACCACAAATATATCCTGTGTACATCCCTGCAGAGGAGGAGAGAGGCTGTAAAAAAGCAAAGCTTGTCTGGCACAGAAGAAAACTTCACAATGAGAAAATACTGTGAACGTTAATTAGATTTATATATCAGGTTGGACCTAAGTTAATTATTACCTAGAAGGAAGGCACTCCTGTAAAGATTAAATGTCTTTTCCTATTTCACTTTTTAATTGGTGAAGGTGTAACACAGCATTTAAAAACAAAAGATCATTTTTCTGGACAAAAACTTGGAGATGGAATATCCTACTGAATCTTAAAAGGAAAACACTACTGAAGAACTAAGAAAGAGACTCCATACTCTGCCATAGAGCGAACTAACAGGTACAGCTTAATCCCTCATTGCAGAAACACACAGATTTGATGATAGCAAGCATGGGATTTTTTAAGCCTTCATGTGATTCTCTATTTTTCCCCTCCTTAAAATGTAGGACAGGGAAACTCTGAAAATAAATGACTTGAAATCTGTCTTGCTCCTTGCCATGGACATGACAATTCTTTCCTGAAAAGTGTACTGTGGTGAAAAGTCAAGTCTTCTCTCCTCCCTATCTGTCTTTCGTGGACAAAATTCTGCTTTTGATGTAATGGATTATTTAGGACTTTGTATTTATATAGAGAAAGGCTTGAGGAATCTGCTGAAGTAGGCAGAATGATTATGAGAGGCAGTCTGCAGTGTCGTACAGAAGAAAAACATTTTTGTGTCCGTTAAAAAAAGAAAAAGAAATAAGTCTGAATAATTGTTGAGGTGGAAGCACAACAGTACTTATGCCTGATGTTAACGATAGCATCATCCAGAACATCTGAAATAACCTTGCATTATTGATACAACAGACTGCAACGGAAATTACTTATTTCTTCCCTCTTTAAATTTAAAAATAATGGACTGATTGGACCAAGCAGCTGAAAACAGAGATAGTGCATCTCGAGTTTGTTTTGTGAATTATTAACACAGCTCAAAGTTAAAAATTTAGCTTTGCTTGGAAATCTACTCTCCCATTTAGCCTGACTGTTGTTTTCAGCTTACATTATTCCTTGAACATTGCTGTGAAACTTCCCGTTAATTGTCGGGTATTGTGGGATTTGAAGATTTTTGTTTATTTGAAAAACATAGTACGGTTGAATTACCAGGACCCATTAATATCTGTGCAGTAATGACATGTAATCACCCACAACTCCCTTGAGGTGGCTCTGGCACAACCACCCCATTTCATTTTCATGAAATAAAAAGCATCCAATTACCTAAACAACCACCTATTTCACATTAATTACACATCAATAATCAGTCAGTTGGGGAATGCCTGTTTCTACAGGACATCATACTTCACATCCTCTTGGTCCTCTCCTTGCATACCGTTTTCTTCACTGTGGTCTTTATTTTGAGGTGGGTCGACTGATTTACATCTCACCATAATTCCTGTGACAAAAATGTTCAACATGTCTTCTATTTGTTCAACATGCTGTAAGCAATGATGTTACTTAGGATTATGCTGTATGAACTTGGGCCAGCAAGCCAGTAATAGAGCCAGGCACATTTCTGAACTGCTGCTGCACAGCAATAAACAGACCCTCATACATATATTTTCCAAAATGCAAGGAGCCCCATCTGTACTGTAAATGTCTACGTATATTCTTCACTATAATGCAAGCTGCCCACAGCTATCCTCATTATTTGTGTAGAACATTGTCTCGGGATCACAGTGGGCAGAGGCTTTCCAAGCCAGGTTACAGATAACTTGTAATACCCCACTGGGTTGCCTCCATTAACGCTTACTCCACAAAAAGAAGGCACAGGCACTGGGTCACAAAATGTTCTAGCACATCCCAGGAGGCCAGTATTGGATTGAAAGATAAAGGAAAGCACAGGAAATGCTTATAAAATGCAGACTTGGCATGAATACTTTCACATTCAACTCGGAAATATGGTGTTGAGCTGAAACTTGCTTCCCTCTGAAGAAATCTGAATTTTAGCCTTCAAAGAGCCAAAAGCCTATGTGGAGCTCCTCAAAGGCAGGGACAGGATCTCAGACCCAGCATATACTTCTGATTATTTCAGCAGCTGAAGGAGACTGCATACAATGTGAAGGATGGGTCTTTTTATTATCTGATCCTCACCGACACTCCAATCTGTTGGAAGCTTTGTATGTAAACATGCAGACCTTTTCACATCAATAAAAGGACCAAAGTGTCTGTGAAAGGAAAGATCTTGGGCATCTCTATAGCACTCCTTTACCTCCCAAGGCTTCTTTTACAGGGCACAAAATTAGGGGAACAGGCAGATGTTTTCACCCACCACTAAAATAAATGTCTAGACCAAGAAAAGGAGGAACTGGCTGCAGTTCCTTTGTCTTTACTTCCAGCATTTCCGATTTTGACTTAAAATACTTCCAACCTCAGGGAAATATCCTTTGCAAAGTACCTGTAGGACCAACAAGCCAAAACTAACAACATTTGTTTGAGAAACAAAGTAATTTTTGTGTTTTACCTACCTGCCACTGCACAAGGACGGACGAAGTAGTGTGGGGAGTTACTAACACAGAACTGGGCGGTTCACCTGGAACTAAACAAGAAAAAACACAAAGGTAAGCAAATTGACCATAAGAAAGGGTAGGAAATGGGCAGCTTATCAAATTCTCCTCCTTCACTGCTGAACTTCCTATCCCGGTTACAACAGGGTGGGTCTCAAAAACGATGCAGTGAGGATGAATAGTGCAGTCAGGCAGAAGCCAGTTCCCTCTCCCCTTGCTCTACCTGGCAACGGGAGAAGGGACAGGAGAAAAGCCCAGGGCCTAAATCTGGAGCAAGCTACCTCTTGCACATTGGAAAGGCAGTTAAACGTGCCGAGTACCTTATCTGAGAGCAGGAACGAGCTGCTCCCAAATTTTCTAAGATACTTTTCCCCCAGCTAGGGCAAGCCCACGTTATTTTTCGGAATCTGCGTCAGGTATTCACGGATTATTTCAATCAGAACAGCTGGATTTACCATGGGTTAACCCGTTCCTCTGCTACAGCCTCTAACACATGCAGACACACTATCTCGCATCCAGGGAGGACGGGAAGGCTTATCAGGATCCCACAGCCCTCCGCAGCGCAATGCTCTAGTGGCAGCACCAGGTTTGCTCAGCAGAAAGAACGTTCACAGTTTGTTAAGGAGGTGAGAAGCTTTCACAGTGTTTCCCCGTTGTGTTGCAAGGAGGCCAAGCACAACCCGGGACTCACTGTAGCTAAATTCAAAGAGAATTGAAAATACAATTTTCAAAACTGACACAGCAAGTCAGTACTGCTTCATTAGTACCAGTTACAGCCTGCACTGATACAGCAACTATTGTTCAGAAAGGTTCTGAGAGTCAGGATGCCTTCAAAAGGCACATCATTTGTTTGGGTATTACATGGGTTCTCATTTAAATTAGTATATCCCTAAGCTCCATTCCCTGGATTTCTCATTTCAAGATCACGTTCTTTGCCTTCCTTGGCAAAATTCTTCTCTATTTTCCTATCTTAATGGCGTATTTGACAAATCATTCTCTGCACAGTGTCGAATGCCGTTTAACTCCTGGCACTCTATATACCCGTACGTATCCTGGCGTTACCCAGTTTCCCAGCCAAAGGGTAAGCAGTGATGCTTTTTCACACTTTGGAGAATTCCTCTCTCCACTGGTAGTCTCATTTGAGAGCTATTTCTGCATCGAGGCAATGGCTTTATACAATCAAGGAATCAGAAGTTGATCTCTAAGGCTAAAAATAAAAGCCTTGTCAATGTCATTCACAGTTTATTAGCTTGATCTGCAGGATTAAATGCTCATGTTTGCAGGAGCTTCATGCTCCTCCTTACTTATACCTCCACATTTTGGCCATATTGCAGATTGATGTGGATTGTAAGTGAAAACAATTGAAGAAACTTCTTCAAATGTATGCATGGTTCTACATTTATTTTTAATGAACTCTTGTAAATTATTCAATTTCTGCAAAGATAATGGTTAGTGCAGAGTTTGGAAGCCAATCAAACAGAATTTAATTCCATTTGGAGACTCCTGAAAGTATGATTCATTATCAGAGGGCACAGCAGGACACTTAGGACCGCCTGTTATTAATTCAGCCAAACCTCGTTACTACCTGTATCAATCTCCTGTGAAAAAGAAAATCTGTGTTTGATGTTGAATCTTCACTGCACCCTCTCTAAAGTCACAGCCTGGGACAGAGGCAGTGGAGAGGACGTTGCAGCAGGGCCAGCAGGCCCAGGAGCACAAGGGAGCACCCACTGCAGGGCGATGTCCCCATCGTTCCCTCCTTTGCACTCACCGTCCTGCAGAGTTGTGACCGCTTCCGTCTCCGCGCTGAAGTCGCTGTCTCCGATATCATTTGTTGCCTTCACTCGCAGCTTATAAGAGGTGAAGGGGTTCAAGCTGTGAAAGGTAAAAACACAGCTGAGGGATGAATTCTCCTCACACTGCCCCGACTTGCCTCAAAACAAGCCTCTACAAAGAACCTGGCCATGGGCAACCGAAGCTGTTCGTCTTTTCCCCGTATCACCGTTTCTTTCCTTTTTTTTTCCCCACCTTCCATGTGACATGAGAGTGTCCACAATCCCACTGTCACCAGCATCTTCTCAGATTCCCTTTGGCCTGAGTTCTTGGAAACAAGCATGGATTCATAACTGTAACAACCTTCAGAAAACAAATATTAAGTTGTAGTTCACGGAGAAACCTGTGATAGGGGCTTGTTGGAACGGGCAAAAGGTGCTGTCATTAGAGTTTTGCGCAGTTATGCAAAACGTAGCTTTCAAAGTTCCGTGTAAGCTTTGTCAAAACACATCTGTGGGTCAGCTCATCCTCATTTTGCAGATGGGAAAACCACAAAAGAGAAGGCAGGTGATGTACCCAGAGTCAGCCAGTTAGTCAGTGCACAGCTGGCACTGGAATTCAGGCGCCAGTCTTCAGACTAATCCACTACACCGTACGATCACTACATTTTATTCCTATTGAATTTCAAATTAATGCTATTACCTGGATTATTTAATAGAGACAGTAACAACAGGTTTCCTGCAGCTCTTTTGTATATGTGGTGCTTTAAGATATGCAAAGAGCAATTTCCAGCTGACATAACCTCAGCAGATTTTTTTCGTTTGGCTTGCAAGGGACAAGGTGTGGAGGAAGCTGCCTTTTGACTCCCATACAAAGGTTAGAAATTCAGAGCTGTAAGTTATGGGGGATTTAACTAATTAACTGGTAACGTCTAGCCACCAGCTGGCAGATGCAGCACTGACTACAGGCCCAAGCAAAGCTACTTGCAAGGAACGATTAAACGTCAAGGGATAATGCATTCTGATGGGCAGCACTCTAGCATCACGCACGTGCTGCTCTTCTGGACTTTCACAGGAAAATGCTTTTAGCGAGAGGGAGAAGAAATGTTTTCAGTAGCTCTGTCCTATTAGGGCACTGTCACTTTCTTACAGCAACTTGAATCACCTCTCTTGAAATATAGCTCCTCTGTTTTCAGTAATGACAATGTTAAGTCTAAATGACATAGGTAGTCTCCCTCATTTTAGGGGTTTTGACTGCAGAGATACTGCGTATAACTCAGGGCAGGTACAGCTCCACCAGTGTCAATGTAACAGGTCTATATTTGTCCTGTAATTGTCAAGTTTTTTTTTTTTGATCTTTCTTTGGTGTTTTTTTCTTTTTTTTTCCTCTGTAGTTGGTCAAAAGGATAGCAATGTATCTTTATCTTCTGTCACAAAACCAATGAGCAGCCATAACCATGGATATTTTTATAACATGCCTTAAAAATCCACATCTAAATTCTTCAACCACTGTATTCTCCAAACGCCCAGAGCCTTTTAGAAGCAATCAGACTTGTACTAGTCACTCATAGGGGAAATGGACAGCAAAACAAGTACCTTCTCATAGACAGTCAATTGCTTCCGCAAATGTTACAAGGACTTTAATTACAACAGCATTGCTGAGGATACAATGAAGGCTGAATAACAAAGTTTAAACATTTTGATGCTATCTATAAGCTTCGGTATAGAAAATACAGATAAAAATGGCTCTCATTTCATCTGAAAGAGTTCATATAGAGATAATTGCAATGTAGCAATGAGAGTGGATTGTAACATCAGTCACTACTGAAAGGATTTTAACTAGTTGTATTTTCCAGAGCACTGCATAGTTAGATATGCGTTTAGTCTGCACGACATTATCTAGCATGCTGAACTTTTAATATGGGCTTGAAAGATATCCATTCAATCCTATCTTCATTAGAGATATCGCATAACCTTCAGGAAAACTCTCCACTCCCAGCAGCACTTCCAAAACGGGAAGAGTGACTCTCCTTTACCTGTAACCCCCAAAGAGATGGTGA